AGTAAATGAACGACTTAATATTGAAATATAAAACTTTTTGATTTTAACAGCAGCGAAATTTTTGTAATTGACAATGTCAAGCAAGAAAGACTATCGAAAATGATAGAATTCACTTTTGCAGAAAAACTGCAAAAGTAAATTCTGTATAGACTATCTTTATTATGGAACTAACTGACATTGTGCAATTACATTGGCACTATTATATAGTGACACATATATCACGACCATTGAATGTTTTTTGTTCTTCGTATAGTATACATATAGGCTGTTTATAACTAGCAAACTATTGTTTTTACTATACGATGACATCATTATACATTCTTTTCTTTTTATCTTCCATCTATACGAGACAAATCGAAAATAGCTGGCAACAGTGAATTCTGTCATTTTCGATAGTCTTTCTTGCTTGACATTGTCAATTACAAAAATTTCGCTGCTGTTAAAATCAAAAAGTTTTATATTTCAATATTAAGCCGTTCATTTACTTATATATAATATATTTCAAAATATCTATGGCAGCATATATGAACGCATTTCGATACTAAGTAAAGGATTATTTTCGATCTATCTCGTATAGATGGAAGTTAGGGGTGACCCTTTATCTTTATTTTCGTTTATAATAAAGGATAAAGATAAATGAATCCTTCACTCTTAAAAAATAAAGGGAAAATAAAGGAATAAATGATACTTTTTACGATCGATAATAGGATTGGAGGAGCACTAGAATCATTGAATAGATCTACACAGAGATTGTTACCGTTTTACAATGTAATTTGATTAAAAATACGTTTCCTACAATGAAATTCAAAAATTACAGAAATGAAAGCTTTATTTTTGGCTTTTTAGAGTACTAAGAGGAAAAACTTATAACACTCTAATGTGATCAAAGGCTTCTTATGTATTAAGGCATCTTTATGAAGCTTTATTTCAGATTTGTAGAATGTCTTAATCGGATGGATTACCACTCAATCTTCATATTTCCAAATAGAATTCTTTCATAATTTTTATTTTTATTTCTAGTTATCTCCAACCTTATCCAATATACTCTTTATATCCTTAGTCTCAGAAAGAATTATATGTAATAGCATAAGTTTTATATGTTTCATGGCATGTTTGCTTGCTTGTGTGAACTGACAAGTACGCAGATATTAGTGAGATTTCCAAGAAGATATTTACATTAAGCCCCGTTTATTCTCAAATTTAGTCGGTAACATAGTTTCACCATCTAATTCTTGTCGCAATAAGTTGGTTGAGGATAAGAATCTAAGCTTTGGAACTCGAGAGTTATCATCCGCTATAAATATGGGCGTTATCAACGTGAGAAAGGTTCATGGTTTCATGACTCTTTCTATGTGTTTGGAAAGGAGTGTGAGTATGTAGTTGGTAGAAGCAAATATGATCGTGCAATTGAAGACGTTCACTAGAAGAAACAAATACGAACTAGTTTTTAACAATCATTCACACACTCATCAGAAACTTCAATTGTAGCGCTTCAGTTTCAAAGAGAAAATTTGATGTTGCACTTGCAGTAACAATGTAGAACGCAAGTCAGATCATTACGGTGATATGAATCAAAGAATAGAAGTAACTTAACTAAAGTAATACGATTTCGATAACGCTTTTCGTGAAATAAAACATCTTTCGAACAAAAAAAACGTACCGATGAATATGAGAATATAAAATTGGTGCTTTGCAAATCGATAATTTTGATAAGGACATGTAAACTTTCGAGATGAATTATAAGGGAAAAATGGTCTATGCTCACAATTGTTGACATTCTAGTAGAAAACGATCTATTTAACATCTCAACAGATCCTCACAAGTAGCAACTTTCATATGAGCAAGAAACTATTTAAATATACTGTTAATGTCTTTTTTTGACTTTTACCATCTGATTTCTCGTACAAAGTGTAATCATCTGTTATGCTTTTGAAATATCTATTCGATAACTTCATTAGAATAGATTTGAACTGCTTGGTGCAGTACCTGCTAAAAAACAAGTATACGTGACTGTCTTGAAATCTGGGTGAAAATTCCAATTTATATCTGTATTTTTTTTGTCATTTTAAACGAAAAATTAAATGTCAGGGTAGCAAGAGTAAAACCGAGACTCACTCATAATCATTAATCAATTTTCTAAAAAATCTATATGATTACTAATTTTAACAACAAGCTAACAAATACCTTTCACAGCTTAATTCTCAAGGATATACTTTCTACTGATTGTATTACAAAAATTCCAATTACTGCCTGTTGTATGAGAAAATTCTGTTGATTAATTGAACTAAAAATATCAGTAACTAACTAATGATTGTGATACTCTAAATATTAAAATAGAAGGGTGTGGGTGTGGGTAAAGAGAACAAAAACACTCACACCCAGACACAGCCACAGCCATCGACACCCACATCCCACACCCTGTGGTAGACTATAACATCAATCTATCCACTGATAGTGGATGGGGAAGTGGGGTACATTTGGCTTTATACAAAATGTTGCTTGATAAAAACCTCGACGAACAAGCCTCCGTGGAACTGAACATATATCAAAAAATTAAGGAATTGCAAAGCGATCAAACATTTAAATCCTTCCAAGAATGAGGCGTTGCATCGGATCGAACAACGGGCGGTGATTTCGCAAGTCAAGAAGCCACTTGAACGATAAATAGCTCTCGAAAACGTTTTTTGAATCAAGATTTGTCATTTGTCTTTGCAAACGCTCCGAATATCACTATATTTATTTTTAAATATAATTACGAAATAACGAAATAGAAACTTGTAATATAATTAAAAACTAAAAAAATAGTCAAATGACCTTGAAGATGTAGCGTGGGGTGTGAAGGTGAGGGTGGGTATGAACACGCTTAACAAGAGACACACTCATACGCAAACCTACCCTCACTATCACCCTCAAGATAAGAAAAAAAATGTTTCATAGTTCTTGAAAGGGAATTCCTTGATGTATGAAAAAGAATGATTCATTTCTTTTTAGTAAGTCGATGAATTCTCTCCTCGACCCTAATACGAATTGGATCGTCTGCATGAAGGAATTTCACGAAAATAATTATTGCTTGATGATAGTAATCCAGAGCCATTTTTGTCTTGTTTTGTCTTTCATAACAAACTCCAATAGTATTCAAACATTGACCTATATTTACATGATCGGATGGACAATATTTCTGTCTCATTTTTAGTGCTCGTTGAAAATAGTCAAGAGCTTCATGATACTTTTTCTGATCACAGAAAATAGTGCCAATATTGTAGAGACTTTGTGCGATGTCGATATGACCAGATCGATAATATTCCTCTTGCATTTTCAATGATCGTTGATAATAGTCGAGAGCATCATCATACTTTCCTTGATGGTAAAGAATAGCACCAATACTGTTAAGGTTTCGAGCGACATACACGTGACCAAACGGATAACATTCCTCTTGTATTTTCAGTGATTGATGATAGTAATAAAGAGCTTCATCGCATTTTTCTTGTTTTTCAAGAATAAAACCAATGCTGTTGAGACTTGTAGCAATCTCTGCATGACCAGAAGGATGATATTTCTCTTGAAGTTTTAGTGCTTGTCGATAATGGTCGAGAGCTTCATTATACTTTCCTTGCTGTTTGAGAATATTTCCTATGTTGTAGAGACTCTGAGCAGTATCAACATGACCAGATGGATAACATTTCTCTAGCATGTTCAGCGCTTGCTGATAGTAATCAAGGGCTTCATCATATTTTTTCTGATGAGAGGAAATAGCAGCAATGTCGCTGAGACTTGCAGCAATATCTACATGGCCCGATGAATAATGTTTTTCCTGTATTTTCAATGCACATTGATGGTAATGCAGAGCTTTATCATATCTTTGTTGGTGATAGAAGATCTTACCGATTTTGTTGAAACTTTGCGCAATGTCCAACTCATCAGATGAATAGTAATCCTCTTGAAGTTTCAACAATCGTTGATAGTAATCGAGAGCTTCATCGTACTTTTCATGTTCGAAAAGAAGATCCCCAATACTGTTTAGACTTTGAACAATAGCGATATGACCAGATGGGTAATATTTCTCTCGCATTTTTAGTGCTCGTTGATAGTAATTGAGAGCTTCATCATATTTTGCTTGATCGAACAGAATCTGACCAATATTGTTAAGGATATGAGCAATGTCTGCATGACCTGACGGATAATGTTCCTCTTGCATTTCAAGTGCTCGTTGATAATATTTAAGAGCTTCATCGTGCTTTCCTTGTCCTCGTAGAATAATACCAATTTTGTTTTGATTTACAGCAATGTTGCCATGACCAGATGGAAAGCATTTCTCCTCAATATTCAGCGCTCTCTTATAAAAATCAAGAGCTTCATTATACTTTTTTTGTAAAGAAAGGATGTTGCCTATATTATTGAAACTTGTTGCGATGCTGACAGAGCCAGGTAGATAACATTTTTCCTTTATATCTAGTGCTTGCTTATAATAGTCGAGAGCTTCATCATACTTTCCTTGTTTCTCAAGAATAAGACCAATTTTGTCGAGAACACGAGCCGAGTCTTTGACTCGTACCGGTTTATTTGTCATCATTCGATCGTATGCACAATCGAAATGTTCTCCTGCTTCTTTCCATTCACCTTTAAAACATAGGACTCTACCAATATTAAATTCAATCCAAGCAAGATCTTCACCATTTGGATCATTCAATAATTGTTCAAAATATTTTTGCGATTTATCATATTGACCTAAATTACACATTAATCTTCCAAATACAATCGAAACACTTTTTTCTTCTGTTTCTCTTAGTGTTAGTTCAATATAGTCTTTTGTTACCATTTCTCCTGCATTAGATAATTTCATTCTAATTAATTCAAATGATCCATCCTGTTCAATAGATTCTATTTTAAAACAAGCATTTAAATCAAATAAAACTTCTTTGTCATTTGGATATTCAGTAAATTGAGAATTATCAGAAAACATAACACTATTTCCAATTTGTTTAATGTAAACTTCAATTTGAAAAAGAACAGAAACTACATCATTTCGCTTAGCTGACTTCATTGCAATAACGTGTGCTTGTGATCGACGACGACTTGTTAATAAATATCCATTAGTTGAAATGAGTTTTCCTTGATTTTCTTTTAGTCTATTAAATTCTTCTATATCAAGTTCTCCTTCTCGATAAACAGTGAGAAATTCTTCATTGGATAATAACATTTTCTTATGCTCACGTCGAAGATACTCCGAAAGATCACTAATAAAGTATCGTAATGTATATAAAATATCAATGTCTTGACTTCTCAATGCTTTATTAATTAATTTATAAATAAACGATTCTTTTGCATACCAATAAATTGCGTCTTCCGATCGATATTCACTTTCAAATTGATTGATCAATGTAAGTTCTTTTGTATTACCATGATAATATTGTCTACACATTTCAATCATTTCGTGCTTTGCTTCTTCAATATGTGGAAAACGAGCCATTACATGGTTGAAAAGTTGAAACCAAATAAATTTAACTGACTCTTTTGATAAATCATTCGTTGATTTTTTATTTTGATCAAAAAAACTAAATGTTTGTAATTGATTATCAACGAGATCAATTTGTTTTTGAATGGCTTCGCATAATTCATCGAGATTAGTATAAGTACCAATTATTTTTGAATATTCATTGATTAAATGCTCATATAATTGTTTTTCTGTACCATAAATAAAAATTGAGTTGACTTGACGAAGACATGAAACATGAGATAAAAGCTGTGATGCTTTTGATCCACATATAATTAAAAAGATTTTTTCTCTATCAATCGATCTGATGAATTTAACACATTGATCCAGATTTCTGTAAAATTTGACATAATCATTAATAAGACGAAGTCGTTTTGTTGTTTGTTCAGTATCTCGAGGTGACTCAAAATTTGGATCAAACCAAAGGAGTGTTGTACTTTCTTTATTGTCATTTTCGTAAATATTAATGCATTCTTCAGTACTGACAGAGTGTTTTGCAACTTTTGCAGTTAATGATTTATTTCCCATATGTATTTATGATAAAATTTCTTGTCTTCTGATGAATTTGAATGTGGAGGCAGCAAACAAAATCTCTTAAGAACGAAGAGTGAATGTAACATGTGAGAATTCTTTTATCATAAAAACAGAACAACGAAAATTTATTTTTCTTATTCTTCTCAGTTATCGTAGAACATTTTTCTTTCTGTTCTTTCAATAATGATTGTAATGTATTTCTTCTTTTACATAAAATTTAATCTCAGACTTTTGATTTTATCGATGACATTGTATATGAACGGATGTACTCATATCCAATTGAATTTATTTATGTAATAATAAGATGGAGCAAGCAACTGACTGAGATATTGAAGCATCTACCGAAAGTCACAATGATTGTAACATTTAGTATACTTTATTAACATCTCTACAGAGATAAAATGCATCATCTCGAATGTTTAATATTTGTGGACATGGTCTGATCATGCTACCTGTGTATTGTGAATATCGACGATATCATCAAAGAAAATAAATAGACTTTGTTTTTATAGGTTTTGAAGAGCTTTTTACGGTAGATCTTTGACAGAAATAATAACGAAAAATATGAGAATGATCTCTGCTGAGATATTTGCAATATACTAGAAGTTGCAACCGATCTTTAGACACGATTTTGGTATCCTGATTCCGCAATTTGCTGAAAAGTCACAAGCGGATACCATATAACAGGTAGAACGTAATCAATCTTAATTTCAGCTTTTTATGCTTCGGATTTTAAAATCAAACCGAAACAATCATTGTCTGACATTTTCGCACCGGGATGAGACATTTTTTATTTTTCATATTTTTGTCTGCCAACAAACTAAAATACTAATGTACGTGTTTTCGCTCAAGACAAATTCCTATTTTAATGGAAATAATGTTCTATGGTATTTGGCTTTGTTTCTTGGATCAAACAAAAGAGTATTAGATAGGGAAGATTTTATGTTCAATATTTTGATTTTTTTTCGACGAATTAATCTGTTTGAATACTTCAGTTGATCACAGAAAGATAGGTAAAAGCGCATGCTTAGATAGACATCAACACAACACAAAGAGAGTGCTTCATTGTTTATACATAATTTGAAATTTGAAATACCAAATCAACAAAAATTATAAAACATTTCATTTCATCGGTTGCTCTGTGCATCAACCAAAATATTGTTAAAATTATGCAAGCATGCACAACTCTGTAAAGCTAATAATAAATTTTCTGCTATACGACATAATATGGGTCCCGAATACAGTTATTACTATATGGACTGATCAAGAGCCTATTTTACTCGATGCACAATATCTTAAAATCCCATCACCAATTTACTGCAATGGAGTATTTTATTATTGTGACAAATTTTTCTCAATCTTAGATAATCAATTAAAGACGTCTGTATAAATGACATGAAGTACTATCGAAAGACAGACATATTCATTAGATATAGCTAAAGAAAAAGGTTCGACATTATTCATGAGGATGAAGAATAAGTCATTCATTTGAGAACGCACTTGATGTACGATTCTTTTCTTACATCTGTCATCCTACTAGAAAAGAAAGAAGCCGTAAAAGAAAATGATGAGATGAATTGCCATCACTGGCAAATTATAGCTCTTGCATCATGTTTATCGATATTACGATCATAACCATAGAGTGAATGAAAGAATTGATCTGGTTTTCCACTTATAGCGGATCCAATCACTCCAGCTACTTCACCAGCTGCAAGGAGTAAATGAGCGAGTGCTGCAAATGGAATAACTCTTTCATTAACATGGTTTTCTTGAGCCAAGATGGAATATTCATTTTTTATGTACTCCACAAGCATCGACATTGTCGACCGATGAAGAACATGATCTCTCAGGTTCAAACTAGTTCTTGTAATGGCTCTCGTTTCAGAAGAACAGAAGATCGTCGCAATTGTTAATAATATGAATATAATCTTGTTGCACATCTCAAAATAATTTGATTTGTTTACGATACCGATAGTGATTAGGATTCAAATTCTGTCTTCCGTGATAATCAATTGGATTTAATGCTGTTGTTTATCTGTAAATTAGTACACACATATGCTCAAGAGCAATGCGAAATATCATCTATATACAGTGTTTATCAAAATTATTCGACAATCAAACAATATTTCTTCGTTTTGTTATGTATCTCAAAAGTAAAATGAGCTAGAATGGTTTGATTTTCCTCATAGAATATAGTTCATACTCTGTGACATAATTTAAGAAAATTTCAACGTAATTTATCAATCTGTTAAGCTTTTCTTCACAATTGAATTGTAGTATGTTGTTTTATATATCCCTAAAGTTTTCCAACAAGTGATGTTTTTAGCTCTTTTGTGTAGTCACTCGTACTGCAGCTTTCAAAAGAGTCCATTTCTCTCGGTAAAATGATTACCTCTTCTCCTATCTTTCTTATAGTATGCGTTAAGAGCAGCATTTCTTTGTTGAGCTATACAGCGGCATTCTTCTGAAGCAGATAAAAAATTCGAAAAATGCGTTTAAACACTCAAAATGGAATATTGATTGTTCATGATTAACACCTATTGAGAAAACACAAAAAACGTGTTTTTTGAGCAAAATTTTCACTTTCAGAGTGTAAAAGCGGCGAAATGCTTCACCAATTTCAGTATGCACTGTATCAAATAACTTGGCCAACGGAATATTCCATGATGAAAAATTATGTTTGCTACTGCACACATGAAATAGGTTCTATATGACTCTCCTTAAGGAAAAACCAAATTCTCTGATATTTTGGATTCAACAATGGTTCGAATAGACCTATCATTTAAGATAATAAAATCGAAAAAAACTTTTCGGCGCCGTAAAGTGGTTCTCTCCGTACTATTTCTTAATAGATTTGGTAAACTACGTTGAAATTTCCTTTCATTATACTGGAGACTATGAACTATATTATATTCCGAAAATCAAATCATTCTAGCTCATTTTAATTTTGAAATGCAAAACAAAACAAAGAAATGTTATATGATCTTTGGACAGTTTTAATGGGCACTGGATTTCGTAGCCATTTTTTTAAGAGTACTATTGTAGCATCCTCTCATTTACTTTCAGCGTTCTTGGGACGGCAATGCTATAATATATAATAGAGATACGAAAAGTTGCATCAAAAACACTCATTAGCACTCAGTGTCTGTTTGATGCTGTGAAAAAATGAAGTCCATAACATTTTTCACTGTCTACTATTACCAACAGTACTATTTAAAAACTCAAGTCCCACTATCACGCATCTTTTCCTCATCAAATGGAAAGCGGATTGATATTTTGTCACTATAACTCTGATATATATGAGTGACAATATAAAGAAGAAAACGAATTTTTGTGAAAAAATATGAATAAGATGACTGCTGGGATGCAACAATTCGAATGGCAATCTTTTCCCCCATATTGCGGTTTCCTAAAGCAGTCTCTAAATTGCATCCTCACTTGCGGATCATTAAACAATTGACGTCAATTTTGGTGACCAAGAGAGACTTTTTGATTTAGGTACTTCTATTATAGGATATAGTATACACATCTACAAGTATGATAGTTCTTGAGTGTAGAACAGAATCGGTTCGGTTATCCAGTTCTTCACTCAATAACTATCACACGTATAGGTGTGTATATTATATGTCATATTTGAAGTCCCTAAAATAAAGTCCCTACTTAGTCACCATAACTGGCATCAATTGTTTGATAGGCCACAAGTGAGGACGCAATTTAGAGACTGATTCAGGAAACGACAATTCCAGAGAAATGATAACCTATCAAGAATTCCAAACAATTCCATTTCTTGGCTTGGAGTTGGTTGGAATTGACATTGATTAGAATTGGTTTTTAGAACTACTGGTTTTGCAAATATTCAGATAAATAAACAGTTGATTAGCAGTTTTCTCAATACTAATTTCAAATCAGATCAATTTCGATCAATTCTAAAAATTGGAATTGTTGCATCCCTTGATGAGAGTAATGCAATATTACTCAGATTTCTATTGGATGATGAAAAGATGCATGATAGTGAGGTTTGACTTTGGATATAATAGTAGTTGGCTATATTAGGTAGTAAAGAATATTATTTCTTCATTCGTTAATGGCACAGAACAGATATTAAATACTTGTAGATGCCGTTTTTGTATCTTTGTCATGCTGTATAAAATCACAGTTCCAAAGAAGCTGTAAGTAATTGATAGCATGTTTTCTGTTCCCATTCTTTTATTATAAATATTCGCCTTATGAGAAGCAAAAAACGTGAATAAATATTATTAATAACACATCGAGAAAAATATGGACTATGATCGATTTAGGCGTTTTGTTTTGCACGATTAAAATATTTATCGTAAGATAAAGTGCATTATCTCATGAATATTCATATCGATTTCATGACTCCTTGTATTATTGTTTATTAAATGCGAAAATAAAATACTTAAGGGTGTGGGTGTGGGTGTGGATGTGGGTGTGGGTGTGGCTGTGGCTGTGGCTGTGGGTGGGTGTGGGTGTGTGGGTGTGGGTGTGGGTGAGGGTGTGGGTGGGTGAGGGTGTGAGTGGGTGTGGGTGGGTGTGGGTGTGGGGTGTGGGGTGTGTGGGTGTGGGTGTGGGTGTGGGCGTGGGGTGTGGGTGGGTGGTGTGGGTGTTAGTCTTTCCTTCACCCACACCCACACCCACCCACAAACCAACTCCCAGCCACACCCCACACCCAGCCACACCCACACCCACACCAACACCCATACCCATACCCACACCCACACACCGCACACCCACACCCATACCCACACCCACCCCCACACCCACCCCCACGCCCACCCACACCCCACACCCACACCCACCCACACCCACGCCTACACCCACACCCACATCCCACACCCACACGCCACATCCACCCACCCACATCCTCATTATTTGAATAGTGTGAATAGCATTCTTTCCAGCTTTGATAAGAATACTGAAGAACCAAAAAAGTGCATTGCAGGTATATTCAGGTTAATAATTGGAAAGAGAAGCAA